GCTTTCTGACCTCACTGACTTTCAACTGAGTAAATAGTAGTGTTTTTCTTAAAAAAAAGAGAAATCTACCTGACCTCCAGGCACAAAATCGTCTTTCCCTTTCCAAGGAAACTACTGATGAAATGTTATCTAGACATGATATTGAGATGACCATAGCGCCTCTGAAGTGCAACTAGAGGCAGTTAGTTATAGAGTTTTCCTAGTCGGATTGTGTAAACCAGTGCAGAGAGATGATATTTTTTTCTTGCTTCAGGCACAAATTACAGGGTTAAGCAAAAGAGTCAATGATCATAATTATCTTGTTTGCACCCCGTGTAAGTCTACCATTGAAACTACCAATCAGCACAGATGGACTAGCACTTTTCAAAATGGAAAGTCTTGTCAAAGATATTGGTTATCAGCAGTTTCTGGTACCCTCAAAAGAATTAACATATTTGAATTGGAAATGGGGTTGGTGGGGGTGGGGGGAGACAGGGAGGGGGAAACTAAAAGAACACTTCGAACTTTCCATGTATAAGACTACTCTAATTTGCTACGTGTAATGAACGAAGAGAGTAATGTAGGGCATGCTGCTCATAATAATAAATAATCCTTGCATTTGATAAAGCGCCTTATCACGTCATCAAATGCAAGGATACTGTAAAGTGATTTGTAAAGTGAATTGACTATATTTTGTGGGCGAAACACGGCAGGCAATTGTGCACAGAAGTGTCCCACAAATATCCGAGGATTGAGTGAACAAATTAATATTATTGTTTTCTTTTGAAAAGGGATTATCACCATTGGAAAAGCGATCCGCCAATCAACTAACAACCGGGTTCCAACTTACTGCTACATAAACAGAGGCGTGTGGAGTAAGGAAACTTGCCCAACGTTTTGCCCTGCCTGGGAATCGAACCCAGGGATAAAGGGATAGTCGCACACTTCCCCCACCTGAAGCCATAATTTAAGGTAAGTGAAAGAAAGCTAAACATATAGGAGTATCTACAGATGAGAAGCAAAATTAGGAATATCAGTGAAGCTAAAAACAACCCCCGAGAATAAAACACAGACATTTTGAAGCACTTAAGTGCTCAATGTCCATTGGCAACAACTGACCTGTTACAGTGCTGCTGTCAGTTTAATGAGTATTAAATAGTCTTTGTAATGCATTTTAAACTGATTTTGTTCCAAGTTTTCCTTTGAGGTTTTTGTTTGCTAATCTACCAGTCGCATTTAGTCTCAACATTTTCTGATCTCCCCCCTTTTTTTCCCTCACTGTTAACCACTCCAGTAAAAGGTTCTTATAAAACACAATAAATATGGTGAGAATGTTTTAACTGCCTCAATGACATTAGGAATTCTTGGTTGATGCAAACATTTCTGAAATATTGAAGAGATGGGTTTCTCTCTCTCTCTCTCCTGTTTTGTTCATTAGTTCTGTGCTACCACTCTCTCTCTCTCTCTCTCTCCCTCTCCCTCCAAGTGGTTCCCATCAAGTCAAGGGGAGCAACACATGAGGTAAATAAACTACTGGAGGTCTAGGAGTCTCAGAATGACAATGTGTTTGGTTCACGGAGCATCTACCCACTTGTCAGTTGATTCAGCACTTGGTGGAAAGTGCACGACTGCGTCATTCAGTGAGACAAATGTTTTCACAACTGTTGCAGAACATCTTTGAAAAAGGGTAAATGACTCATTCCTTGAAAAGAACTCAAAACATTTGAGTTCTAAGAGAGGCTGAAAAGTTGTATTGGTTGGATAATTGGCTGCCACATTTCACCCACAAAATAGATAGTCAATTTACTTTACAGTATATTCTGTGAAGTACTTTGAGACGTCTCAACGACGTGATAAGGCACTATATCAAATGCAAGGATTATTATTATAACTGAATTTGAAGAATGAGGGATGTTATACATGAGGATGAATAATCCATCATTTCTTCTTTGTTCAAAGTGCCTTTTTTTTTAGCAATAGAAATGTTATATTGGCTTAGGTACTAAAACAGAGGCTTGTATAACTCTCGCAAATTTATGTTTGAAACAAACCTCTGGTAATACTTACTATAATGAAAGAATCCATGCTCTGGAATTAGCTTCCTATTTGTTTTAATTACATTACCAGAAAGATATCAACAGAGGACACAAACAGCTGTGACAGTTCTATCTGAGTGGTATAACACTTAGTCTATATAGTTGTGTACGACAGAAAACAGGGTAAAATAGAACAATCTATCTTTTCCAGTAATTGCTTTTTTTCCCCCCTTTTGACGTCACAGTGCCCCACGCAGCTAATGCAGCTGAAAGGACAGGCTCTCAGGCCACAAATATTGTTGTTTGATAATGTTCCCCAAGCACAGGAGAACAACAGTTTCCATTCTAGTTATTTTGGAGCCAGACTGACCTCCCACACATCCTAGCAGCTATTACAGAAATTGCTTTAGATAATGGCAGGTAATGTTGAGTTTCCTCTTTTTAAGTGGCTTCTCTCTTCCACTCTCTTTCCCACTCCCTCTTTTGGAGGGGGAATACACAGTAACTAATGGAAAGGTTGTGCTTTCCTAAACTATTAAAGGAAAGGAAATGGCAGGGATGGACAAACAATGATGAAGTGAATGATCAATTCATCTGGAGGATTGGGGACCAGGAAAGTGGGGGAAAAAAACTCCCTTCTCTTCTCAAAAAGTGCCATAGGATCCACCAGAGGAACAATCAAATGTTCCTCAGCTTAACATCTTGTCCGGATGGCACACATCTCTGCGATAATTAACCCAAAGCTGCACTGAAGGGTCAACCTAAACTCTGAACTCAAGGCAAATGCTAAACAAATGTCACGCCAGCTACCTGAGATGAGACATTCTGATTTGCATAAATGGCAAGGCAGATTCAAAAGACTAGTTTAGAATAATAATCCTTGCATATCCATTTGATATAGCGACTTATCACGTCTTCGAGACGTCTCAGAGCATTTCACAGAAGTGAATTGACTCTATATTTTGTGGGCGAAACAGAATGATAAATTCTGGGATTCATTTCTGTTCTCTCACTCATTTATCTACAGGATCTACACAACATTCCTTGACCATGATTCCGACACTTGAAAGGGAAACATCATGTTCATGACTCAAGTTCCAGCTGGTTCTGATATTTACGTATCAGGAGTGGGAGTGACCACAAGTAGAATGGATGCCATCCTTTGCTGAGATGAATACCAGTTGACCGTACCATTTAGATGGTGTTCAACTGGGAAACCCAAATTGATATCACTCCATGCTTTTCCAGTCACACAATTACCAATACCTCCTCTCAAATGGGCTTTTCAGGGAGAGTACTTTAGATTGAAAGTGCTTCACTTCCACAGCAATATTGATCTTTAAACACGTACTTTGTTTTACTAACATGAACCTGGAAAGAGTATAGAGATGCTACAACATGATTGTTAATAAAAATGCATTTTCTGATCAGCTCGCCTTTTCACAAATACATTGTTTGAAGCTTTTCTCTTTATCTGCTGTCCTTTTAGGCCATAGAAAGGTTCCGCATGTGAGATAATAGACAAATCACCTGGTTAATAATCATTATGTCTCTAACTTTCTAATAACAAGGAATATTTGGTAATTGAGTAGTTTGACTATTATCTCTAGCCTTGAATTGTTCCATTAGCACAGAATTACAACAATTAAGGAGAAAAATGTATTAAAAGAAAAATGCTTTAAAATCCAAAACATAAGGAAAAGCTAAATAGGAGCATTACACAAGAGGAAAATGGTGCACTTAGAGCACTGAAAAGGAAGAAATGCAGGGCAAAGCTTAAAGCTTTACGTGCAAAATTTAAGTGTGCATTTGTAGTCTTGACAAAAACATCCAATATCCTATTTTGCTTTGTTGCAAATTGGCAAGAACAAAATTCTAGGTAAAAGGTAAGCAGGGCTAATACAAAGTATGGTTAGGCACTCAACACCATTGTGAAGTATTATACAGAATACAGACTCAAAACAATTCTGGATGCAAATTTAACAAGGCAAGTCAGTTCCGGGAACTCAAAGTTGATGACTCTGGACAGACAGTTATGTTTGCAAGTAAACTATTTTTAAAAAGTATTATTCTTAAAATGGTACAAAGTGCGAGCACTAAGGAACGGGTTACAAAAACTTAAAATGTCTGAGGAAAAACTAAACGGATAAGAAAATCAAAACTATATATCTCAATTATTTTCCGGCTGCTTTCTGCCTAATATTTCTCCAATACATTCAACTTGCTTAATAATGAAACATTCCCCTGTAGGCATCATATTTACACACTGAAAATCAAATTTCACAGCTTATTTCTGATTTCAGCCTATTTTCGAGTGTTATTAAATCTGTGATTGCCAACATATAGAGATTACACAGAAATATTTTCCTGCTTATCATCAGACTTAAGGCATGGTATGCATCTTTTTTTTAAAAAACATGGTTCCTTAATAGACAGCCAGTCTGTATAGATGAGCCTCTACCTTACCATTATCCTGCATCAACACATATTGACTGAAGTTGCAAGTAGCAACTAAAGGCCTGGTCATGCTCAATTAATTCTCCCATATTGATGTTGAGTGATACTGCTGTTGGCTGGGTACCTTCAGAGACTGAATAATACACGTTTCAAGCAAGAAATAAGGTAATCTTTCCACTATAATTGATTAGTTCATTTAAAGAATTACAGGACTGTAGCAGAATAATGATTATGATGTAATCTGCCACCTGTTAACACTAAGTAGAATGACCTTTTTCTATGAACATTATTAGAAGTTTATTGAACTCTGCTGTAAATCCCTATGGGGTCTTTCTGGCTTTTGTTTTTTCCCCTGCTCTAAACAAGGCAACAGTGGTTCCTTTTTGCTTACTCTGTATGTGTGCGCGTGTGTGGAGGGCGGGGGTGGGGTTTACATTTTATTTATAGGTTTGTCTCTGCGTTGTGTGTGTGTCTGCGTGCGGGTGTGTGCACACTACTCTATAAGGTTAGAAATTTTGTTATCTTTACCTTATTCTTGGTAATGGCCAAACACAGCCCCTTGATTTTAGGCATCAGAAACATCTTAGAAAAAATATGAAAAATTGTATTTTCATTCTTGCTGAATATTTAATTTCTCACTCCATTCCTGATCGAACTTGTGATCCATTTTAGCTTTGAGGACAGAACCGTGTGGGCCACAGACTTCACTGTGGTTGCCAACAGCACAGCTCTCTGTCAGTAGCTACCAAGTGTACTTCAAAAGGTGGGATTAGGTGCATCACATCACATTTCCCTTTACCCAGAGTGGCAGAACTGTTGTATTGATTCATCTCACAGTCCAGGCAACCTGATCAAGAGGGTTTGAATGTTGATAAGGTTGGAAGTTGAACTTGGAGATCAACGCACAGGCCTTGCATTCCAACATTTGTCACTTCAATGAGTTGGTTAACAATGTAAACCCACCCACAGTGGGAGTGACATGCTTCACCAGTTTAGCCAGCCAATGAAGAAACTGACCAGGTTTGCTTTTGTTCTTAAATAGAATAGGCTGTGACTCTACCTGCCACCGTAAGGAAACTGATGCACATAAACAGATCCAATCGAATAAAACTGGCCAAAATTTAGATCGAAAAATTTAAGAGGGTTGGTTCAACAGTGCACAGAAGGCAGAAAACAAAATGGAACAGAGGACATGAGCTCTACAAGCTGCTGGTGTTTCTAAACATTTATCTTCTCGTTCCACAGATAACTACTTACAGGCTGAGGGGTATGTTTTGGTTCAGTTGACTTCACATGCAGGTGTGTCATCATAGCTTGCAGGCGCTCTTTGTCTTTTGCAAGCTGCAAAAATAATACATTTTAGCTTCCTAAGCAAAACCACAACAATCCAAAACAAATGCCAACTAAGGCAGTTATCATTATTGGGACACACATAGACAGGAACTTTGTGTCAAAGCATAAATCGGGTATTTTAACACCAACTGTTATGACCAATGCAACGTTCCCAATGTTATTTTTTTAAAAAAAGAGAATTACAGAAAAGGGAAAAAATCAGGATCAATGTATTCACTCACAAAATATACAGTCAATTCACTTTACAGTATACCCTGTGAAGCGCTTTTAGACATCTCAAAAGACATGATAAGGCGCTAACTCAAAGGTAAGGATTACTATTATTACTAAGCTTCGTGTGTTACATTTCCATACCAAGGGTATTATGGTGAAAAATATATTTGAAGTGTTGGATCAATTTAAATATACTGTCAACAAAATACTTTAAAGGGTGAAAGGGAAAGATAACACCCAATCAAAAAAAAAAGTGAACTGAACAGTGTTTAACGAAGATGAAAGAATGGATCAGAGTTCCGCAAAACTCTGTAGAGTCCCTAGCATCAATGGAACGCTACCTTTGCTTTATACTAGAGGACACAGATTGCGAGGGTGACTAACAGAGAATCAAACAGAAAATGTCAGAATAAAGTTCACACATGTTTTTTTTTAAAAAAGGCAAAACTTTGAGTCGATTAACAAAGCAATCAGGTTACTGCGTAGCCGAGCAAAACGTTTCAACTGTTTTCGGATGCAATTGTGCTTCCACCACTGATCAGAATAGAAATGATTCAACAGCCGTTCTGGTATCACTATCTGAATTCATGCAAGGTTTTCTGTGTGTTTGATCTTCATATTAAAAGCAACTTATTATTGGTTATGAAAACGATCAGATTTCATTGCGGCCTTTCTATATTCCAACTGTGTGTGCTTGAACTGTTTTGAGTTTATTCAGAAACATATGCACAGGTTTTCTGTTTATGCATGAGGTTGACAGTGCAACTGCTCTACAATATTCCAACCATATCATGAGGGGAATTGATTAAATGCGCTATTGCATATGAATGTGTTACTACTGACTGACCACAAGAAGTAGCCTTATACTGGAGCACTTGACTTGAACTGGCAGCACAGAGGATTCCTACAAAGGTCCTGTTGCACTGAAGAGCAAACACTATTTTCAACATACTTAAACGTCAATTAAAAGTGTTGCCTCGCTCGTCAGTAATTTCGGTAAGTGTGTTATACATTAACAACCGCTCAAAATTGCTTATGACCAGACTTTCATAGGTTGGTTCCACCAGTCCTAACTGGGTCATGTAAAAATGTGCTTATGTCAAGAATCTGAAAGTACACCAAACATACCTGCTTGAACTGAAAGCCGTAGACGTAATTAAAGCATCTTGAATCAATAATGTGAAAAGGATTTGGGTTTTGCACGCACACAAGCAAAGGTTTCCAGGTAGTTAACCCGTTCTCATCAACTACAGTACATTTTTGATTGTCTGCGTGCAACAAGGTTACACAACAGATCCCATATGCAGGAAAGTAATCTTCATCTGTCTCCCATTGCTTGCCACTGTCTGACCAGTCTCTATCCCACTGCTCTATTCCCCATGAGGTCTGACTGCCAACATGGTGTTGGAACCCAATCAGGAAATGAGTATATCACAGCCTCTACAGCACCAGTGAAATTATCTATAATGGGATAATATTGCTAGTTATTTTGAGGCTTTATAATTGTACTATTAATACTGAGATAACTATATATTCTGATAGCATTCCCTTGGTTTGCTGAAGGCTGAGAGGAAGCTATACTGTACGCTGAATCTTGGCACCAGTAAACCAGTAACTGATATCTGCCACAAGCTGGGACTGGAGCAGAGACACAGATGACAACGGGTAAATGAAATAGTGGAATATCAGTCAGTTTCATGTTTTAGCTCTATACACAACATATTAAAAATGTGCCCAGAAACAGGCTCCACTGGGTGTATGAGAAACAGGCTCCACTGGGTGTCTGTAAAACTTAACAGGCACACACACAAAACAACAAAACAAATGCTTCATGGTTCTGTAGAGTGGAAAAAAGTCTCGCGATTACACTGTCAACTGAAGAGACAAGGGATTTTGGTAAAACACAGACAGATAGAGACAGTCAGACAGATCTGCAGCTGTACCACGACAGCATACGTAAATGTGTCACCGTGTTTTGCTGTTAGTCATTTAGCAAATGTTACCTCCGAAATCCTATGATCAAGATGGAGCTGTGATTGCACTGGGGTGGTGGATGACTGGATAAATAGATCATATTTCAGACGGCGGCAGGGGGGGGGGAAAACTTACCTGAAGTTCCAGCTGTTGTACAACCTGCATCTGCACTCGACACTGTGCTGTACTTCGGTCATCAAGTGCATGCTCATTGTTGAGATGTCTAAGATAAAAGCGGGAGATTCAGATCACACACACATTCGCCACAGCGCGGAAAACAGTGACATTTCTCTCCCGAGATTGAAAACTTGCATAGATTGGATTTTACTTTAAAAAAAAAGTTACATTTCTGCAACAAAAAAAAAGCGACAATTGTTATAAGCCAAATAGTAACAGCGATGATCCTGAAATCGCTATTGCAGTGTAAGCAGATCATATTTCAGAAGGGGTAAATTCCCAGCATCCTGTGGAAAAAAAAAGTACCTTTTTGCAATTCGCCAAAACGACAAGAAATTATTTTCGCCCCGAAAAATTGCGACTGAATATATATTGCGCATAAAGCTTTTGGTGCCATTAAAAAAAAAGCAACCAACCTTTTTCTTCTCAAAGGTCTCTTTATTTTCTGAGCTTTAACAGTTAATTATGTCATCAAGATAACAGAAATCAAATGAAGCCAGAATGAAGGCAAAGGACAACAAGAATAAGAAAGATGGAATCTGTCACGAGCTTGAATTATGAATATAATTATGCATGATTATTTTATACCGCAAAGATGTTCCCTTTTTCTGCACGTTTATAACTAATCTAAATAAGTACCTTGCCAGCAGACAGCATATTTCATGATTTATATAAAATGGTCTAGATAAGGTTCACATGTGAAGGAAATATGATTGGAGGATTTTTATCAGCCTCTGCATGAATTACTGTTTGAAAATGCTTATGCAGTAGCATTTCATTAATCATTTAATCATAATCCTAGCAGGATGTTTGAACTGATTTCACAAATACCCTTTCATTTCACTACTTCATTATGCTCACTAATGGATCCAATATATTATATATATCATAAATTATATCAGATCTTCAATGACCATGTAGGTCACTGTCACTAAGCATGCCTTCATGCTCAGCTTGGCAGTTTAGCAAAATCTCGTTCGTGCTTGCTTTATGAAATTTATTTCTATCGTTTAATGCACATCACAACAGAAGACTGGCCACACCTGGTTGTGGTGTCAATACAGTTCAGGATTCTCCCCCCCCCCCCCCCCCACACCACGCACACAACACACCCCACCCAATCGCAAGCAATATTCAGCAATTTTATTTGCAGACTTTGTTACATTAGATAGGTCACTCTCTTTCTCATAATGACAGCGTGGGTCACAGTGCATAATTAATAGGAAATGAAATATTCAAATATGCTCTAATGCAGCCTCATGAAATGTGGTTTAAATAAAAGGCTATAAGAGTGTGGAATTGACATAAAGAGAGACTATGAATGTTGGCATGTGTCATTTTTTAGACCTCAGTTGAAGTGTATGCAAAAGCTTTCTGGTGGAATGACAGTCACTAATGTAAATTACTACAATAAAACAGTCAGCTAAATAAAGACCCTTTCATGGGACAATACTGGCCCTTTCCCTCTGTAGTTAGCTATGTTTACTTTCCTCTCCACATTAAAACAAATATAAATATTAACCCACACCCAAAAATGATTCATGAACCTTTGGCCAGCAGCAGAGCGAAAAAACACAAAACTATTTACATTTGCATGTATATAAATGTTGACTTCCTGGTTGGTTAATATCTGCAGACGTCAACTGAGAAAACACAAGAGTGAGGAGAGAAAAAAGGGTTCCTTTTCCTAGCTCGAAAACTTTTTAAAATACTTGAATAGAAGCAAGAGTGGAAGTTGAGGCAAGCAAATGTCTTTTCTGGGAACTGATTGAGTTTATTTTGGCTGGATTGTATTTATAGGTCAGGCCAGTGGATTGAAAAAAAATGGGCAGCAAAACTGTCACATCAATGAGTACAGCAAAACGTTCTTTCCGCACAATGATGTTAAAAATGATCCGATCTGTTTCAAACCACTTATCTAATGTTCAGCTGCTGCTGTATGATCTCACCGTCTCTCCTGGTGAAATTCCAACACCCCTTTTTAACTGGAGTAAGCAGTTCAGGTGCTTTTTTTTTTGTTGTTTTTTTTAAATAAAACAAATCTGCTGTACTTCAGAAAACTGGTTCAAAATTTCCAGCTGTGCTATTCTGGTGTGTGCAAAAATTGTAGTATTGAAGTACTAGATAGAAAGAACATCATGTAATTTAAAGCTCTCCCTATATGACTCAAATACGATAAAAGAGGGAGATCCCCTACCAGCTTCTACGTACAGCAGGCTAGACACAAACATTTCTCAGTGCTCCAGTTAGACTCCCATCCATGCCGAATATTTGACAACTTTTAACATGGAACGAGACAGAAACCCAGCTTCCACCGCACTAGTGATCGTTTCTGTTCACAGTAGTACCAACTTTGCTGATCACTGAGTTTCGTGCGTCAAATTACTGGAACAAGCCACACGTGGGGTTTGTTTAACAAGTTAGGCTTTTGACACACATTTTAGGTATAATTCTGTGTTATAAGGATAACAATAACAACAATAATAATCCCTGCTTTTGATTATAGCACCTTCTGGATGACGTCTCAAAACGCTTCACAGGATATACCATCAAGAGTAGCTGGCAACTGCATATTTTGTAGGTGATGACAGCAACCAAATTGCATGCAGATGCTTATAACGTACTGAGAACAGGCTATGCTCAACTCAAGGCATCTTAAATAAGGCTGCATTAGGTTTGTTAAAGTTAGCCTTTAATGTCCGCAAATGTTCTCCTATCTACAAACCTATTTTTTATTGAATCGACTGGTGTGAACTCTTTGTGGACAGTCTACACTGACAGTCTAATAGAGTGCTGGTGGTGCATTTTATCATTAGACGTGCTGTTCTTCAGATGAGACATTAAACCATTAAACCCATCCCATGACACTATTCGAAAAGTGAAGGGTGTTTCAGTGTCTTGGTTAGCTACCTCCCCTTCCCCCCAGATAAAGTTGGTCATTCACTTCACAGATGATTGTGGACACTGCCATTGTTTGTGAAAATTGGCTGCTGGGTTCACCTAAAAAATACACAGCTGTCCTCCTGACATGAAAGGCGCTATATCAAATCAAAAGCAAATTATACCATCAACCCACTGCTCAGATCAGCTACGTCAGGATTCAAACATGCAACATGTATGGCCTAATGTTATCCATTAAGCCACGGTGAAGCGAGAGCTCTCATTTCATGACCAATAAAAAAGAATAAAATGTGCACTTGTCCAGGTGGTACTCTCATAATGCTGCATTCCCTGGATTTTTAAACAAAAAAAGGAACATTTCTTCTCTTGCCCGTCATATCTTGTAAAGAAAATCGTTGAATGAAAAAAGGTAAACTTTTAGTTGAATGCAATCTGATGAAGGAACCCACTGACTGATCTTCCACTGAAATATTTTATTGTTGTGACTCCAAGATCACTAGAGGGCACTGTGGCACATGGGTCACTCTGACCCTTTCAGACCAATACACCAAATGGGTTTTAACACTTCAAGGAGGCTGCTCAACACAAATAGCTCGATCACCCTCAAAGAATATACACTGCAATTCGTATCACTGTACATCAACGTCTGAGCAAGTGAAAGCTAATGTGCAACCTAAGAAAGCTTAGTGTCCTCCTGGTTTCATCTTAAAAACTGTTTGGGGGGTAGGGGAGATGGGGAATTGTAGAGTTTGAGCCACATGAATCACATGAATATGATAATTTACCTAACGTTGGCAATAGTTTCCTGGCACAATCTTAAACTGTGCAAACGTTTGCTAAAACAATTTAGCAGCATTTGCATATACGTATGTAGTTAAACATATTCTTCTCTCAAAAGGACAAAGCATTCAAAGTGCAATTTTCTGTGCATGCCCACAACATCTACAAGCAGAGAACTCTTGTAGGCTTATAACCAGAGAGCTTGTGAAATAGAAGTCTCTTTGTAATTAAAGTTTTTCTTTAAATGCTTTCCTGAGTTTGAATAGTCTGCACAAACAACTGAACTATGCCACAGAGAGCTAAAAAAATAAGTGCTGTATAAATGTTTTACTTATATAATAAGTCTTTTATTTTCCGTACAGTTTAAATTTTAGTCAAGTCCTTTGGGTGTAAGGTTTTATTAAAGGAAGCTGAACTAATATGCAACAGTCAAGTTGTCAGTAATTTGTTTCAAGTGTTGCACTCCTTTCTGGAATGCTGTTTGTACACTTCAGCATTAAAAACAGATGGGACTCTATTTGTGTCTGAAAGTACCTAATCTCCTGCTAGTTTAGGTATTGAAATTTCCTTGGTTTGTAAAACATGATAATTATCTCATTATTTAACACTGATCCTTCCCTGTGAATACCCAATGCCAACAACTATATAAAATAAATCAGACTACCATTTCTTTCAATGAAATCCCGTAATCCCATTGGATTTTCATCCTGGTTCAAACAGCCGGGCATACAAGTTCGCAAAGTGTTAAATGACATCTGCAGTATTGAGTTCACTTGATATTCAAGTATCATGCTACTTTCCCACAGTGATTTTATATTTTTCAAAAAAAGTGGAATCGGTATGAATAGGGCTTTATTAATTGATGTGTTGGTTGGACTTTGAGTTGGAATTGGGATGAGGAAACTGTTTGTGGACAATGGCATTGCTGACAGAGTTCCTACACAGCAAGAGCACCTCCTGGCACTGCAGGCACTATCCCCAAACTGGAACAACAGTTGGCCAATTATGGATGGCAGTTAATTAATAACCAGGAATTTATGAGCCGAGATTGCGGCCAAGTCGAAAAACAAATAAGGAAATAAATATGCACATTTGCTCAAAGTATTTTGTGTTAACAGATATAAAACATTAGGAATTGTATGTGCGATGTTAGTTTAATAATGGGATTCTATGGTGTTTTCTGACTAAGATCAACTGGAGGCATCAAATACCTGCTTGACTTCCATCTCCTGCTTCACCCAGCAATGCACAAGGCTTTACTTTACACCCTCACTCATTCACTCACTCACTCCCACGGCTGCTGATGTACTATCAAACCACTGGAATGTTACAAAATAGACGGTGAGGTTTTCAGGTCAAATGCATGCATCTGCTAGATTCCCAAGTGGATCAAAAACCAAACCAATTATCAATCAAATTGCCACACATAAAAAAAAGTTGACTTACTTTAAGAAATGTCCAAAGTCATCACAGCATGCCTCACAGCCAGGCCATTTGCACACACCGTGGCCATACAATGGATGATTGCCCGCCTGTTCCTCATGGGATAACCTAAAGCGAGAAGAGAAAAGAGAACATTTACACCACTGCCACAAACAGCAAGTGTAATAAGTCGTGCCCCTCAATAAGCCTACAGCATGTGTGAATCACACTCAAAGCAAATTATAGAAAGTGGGTGACGTTATAAAATCAAAAATGATACCTATAAAAAAAACGTAGCTCCATGGTTATGTTATATTAAAGAGTTATAACAGGTATGCATTTATAAGTGGTTTCCTCAATGAACAAGAAACTCATTCAAAATGTAACTTTTAATATATATCAAAGGTTACGCAATATTAAACAAGCCTAAACTGGGGTGGGGAGAATGTCTTATTGTATTACAACACTAATGTAAAGAGGTACAAGCGCAACGTTGCAGTGTTTTACAGAAGCTGACAAACTGCGAGTACACAATCCCTATTCATGCTAGTTGAGATTTCCGATAGATTAATAAATCTTTATTTTAAAGGTGATTGAAAAAAAATGCTGAATACTATCTTAAATCTGATCTGCTGCAGCAGCAACTTTGAGTACCCACATTGCAAAAAGCCTTCTGAATGAAAGAGCAACTCATGGATCAAGCACTTTGAGATGTCCTCCCGCCGTGAAAGGTTTTATACAAGTGTAAACTGTACCATAGCACAGCATTGCTACAGACATATGTATCATTGAAGCTCAAGGGTCTGTGAAACCTCTCGCTCTTTGTTACTACCAAACCTTAGCCCTTTCTTGGATTTTGCCTGTACAACATTAAATATATTAGATATTCCCACATTGAAGCACTCCGAGTCTCTGCCCAATGTGAAGGGCGCTATGTAAATGCAAGTTACCATTGTGGTAAATGGCATACCGCTATAGAGTATGAAATTACTCTATATAAACACAGGAAATACTGCTAAAAAGTTAATTAATATATCAGTGTTGATGTGCCATACAGGATTATTCCAGCGATGAGATGGTGGCATAATCCTTCCAATGTTTTAATTTTTTTTATATTACTGTTTTTTCCACCCTCCCCAATAGGTATGCACTGTAAAACCATCACTGCAGGTTTACATTTTGGCAAATGAAGGCTTCGTAATCTCAGTTGTGCTAAGAGTTTAATGTCCTCTCCATGCTCCGTGTAGGTTGAACCAATTCACGTCTGAGGAAAAGTGCCAGGACTCCAGCAATTGCTAAGCCACGTTACTGTGCGATTGTGCATGTGCCACACCTCAAAATGAGCTAATGTCGGTCTGTCACGTTTTCTGTTGGAGGTTAGCGATAGGCAGGCGAGAATACGAGCAGGCTGGTGAAAACTATTGCTATTCTAAAAATAAATATGCACCCATGGTTCAATATTATGTACATTTGCCTATATTGCTCATTCTTCTTGACATAACCCGACTGAAACAGAATGATTCGACTGCATAGATCTGAGTCAAAAGACACAATGATCCAGGTCATGTGGTAAACAGCGAGATGTTATCTGTGCAACAGAGTGTTAAACCACATTCCCTCCCTACCACCCGCACCAAACCCCCGCCACCCCACCCCACACACAAAAAAACTGCTGCCTTTCAGTGAGTGCCATTAGTAAAGGACATTACAGATACTTATTTAGTTTCAAGGAAGTTCCTGGTACATTTGCTGCATAGCCTGTGACAAATCATCATAATATTGACAGTCTGGTGTGCAGAAGTTTACTTGCAGGTCCAGATATGTATTTCTGCTGACTTGTTTTCAAGAGGTAATTGCAGTCGGAATGACACCAGAGTCTACTATGAACGCAGGGACATAATGAACCTAAATTAGCTGTGGGGTGGGGTGGGGGGGGGGAGTGGAATAGCTTTTCTTCTAGAAACTGGACGTTGCAAATAATTTTTGTAAAAAAAAACTTGTCTAGTTTCCCATCTTTCATGATGATAACCTATAACCAGTTGTTAAGAATTGTGCAAGAGGAGCCAGGGATGACTTGAGCCTCTGATTTTTACTTCCTCTTTGATAAGCAGGGCTTAAATATTGGTTGAGATCTGACGAAACTCACCACAGCCGTATCCTGGCAATTCTGGAGTCAGCCAGTCCTGTAACATTACCCAGAGCCCACAGTGGGGAGTAAAGCTCCAACACACTTTGGTACCAATTCGCTATTATTTTTAATCAGAGAGTTTGGTTCAAAAGTGTAATAGAATTCTTCTAAATAATTATTAAAGCATGACTCGTGCCCAACTAATGGATCAAATTGTCCAATTGCTCCCCACGCAACCCCCAGCCAAATAAGTTAATCGTCGAGATTCTGATTAAAGCAGAGAAAGATAGAGGGAGAAAAAAAAGACAAAAAAACATGGGGAGGGGTGGAGGGAAACGTATCTATTTTATAAATATCCTTTGCTTAAAGTAGGGCAGCATTTTGTCACTGTACATTGCAATAAGCAGCACACAATTTCTATTTACAATTCCAAGCCTTGTTTTCTCGGAAGGACAAATCAAAATGATCCAACTTTTTTTTTAAAAAATCGAGGTTTTAGAAAGGTTGTATCAAGTGGATAAGTGCAATTGCTGATCATCACATCAATAGCGAAAAAAATCTTAGCGAAACCCGACCAAATAATCGGAAGGGATCAGAAAACGAGTTCTTTGTCTTTGTTCAGAATAGGATGGTAACGGTTAAAAAAAAATCTTTTATACCAAAACTGACCATTCCACCTGCAGGCACAGCTCCAGTGCCGTTCAGAGAGCAGGACAGCCTGCCATATGGACTGAGACAGCTTACAATCTGTACAACTCTGGACTACAAGTGCCTAGGGGTCTGTCCTACATTAGCACCACCTGTGCTATCAAATCTCTTTGAGAATATGAACTGGCCATTAGGGTCTCAAGAACATATTTCATATCCTGCACTAGGTCAAATGTGCACCAAAGTCTGCTAGACTTTGAGTAGGTCGAATTTTCATTGATTTGCCCACTGAACGGCATTATATGAACAAAATAGAATCTAGATACAGGTGAAGCTATACCAGGAGCATTTAATTGAAGGTGTTGTAACAGCTTTTCTACAAAGTATATAATTACTTTTGGGTATTTTGCATAACAAGTCATAACTGCACTGCAATCAAAATCTGCTGAAGCGTTCACAGTGAGATTTAACTATACTTCTTCAGACGAAAAACCCCCTTTAAAAGTGACAATTACATATTAAGAACCTATATTATGATTTTGCAAATTGATCTGCAAGCAGACAGAGATGTTAAAACTCATTATACACTATTGTGCCCTGGTGCGTAAAGTCAAGTCTAAATAAGGATATCATTCAGATTTCTTTTTAAAATAAACACTTTTCTTCCCCCTCTCTCTTCCGGCCCCACACCCCCCCCAAAAAAATTCTCTGATTTATACATCGTGCAATGATTCATATCTGAATGATGGCCCTAAAAGCCAAAAAATTCCAACCCGGAAAAAAAATCAGACACTATTTAACAGGAAGCTTAAGAGCTATCCAAAAGAGGGACTATGAAAGCAATGTGTAAAATGCCATACAAGGCTGCTTAAAGTCAAACTGTGGGAAATACATGTAGGTATTAAATGTTAATTATGTTGGTACTCATTATTTAAGAAGAGCTTTTTTTAAAATGAAAAAAGGAATATCTGACCTAAAAATAAGAAAAAAATCTTACCAAAATCAAATTTTATTAATGTGGTATTTTATGTCTTCTATCAAGGTAAATCTTCTGTGCCCCTACCAGCAATTTTCAGCATTTTTTTTTCCTATTGACTATTCTGGTTTCAACAGCTGCTGTGGCTAGGCAGCAGCTTTGTTCAGTCAATAGCAATATACAATAAAAATCACACATCAGTGCCCAATGGCGTTCTAGTATGCTTGACAGAACTGATATAAATAACTTTACAATGTGTTTTTTTCCCTCTAAAACCATAATGACTATAATAAAAACTATTGTAAGTAGTTTTTCACACACAAAAAAAGTATTATTTGACTCTCCTGTTGCCTTTTTAAGTCTTCACCATAGAGGCTGGATGTTTATTTTATAAAGGCTTTGATTTGAGTAATATCATTTCCCACACAATGAATGCAGAAGCTTTTCTTTTCTCTTTTAAAAAACAGCACAGTACACCAGTGGGTAAATATCTCCACACCACAACAGGGATGATAGTCTCTCCTGGCAATCTCCATCAAACTGTTTTTCCTCCCATACACTCAAGGGTTTTACCCTGAATGATTTAATTATAATTTTCCTTGTGTAAGACAAATTAAAGAGGAGAGTAGGAGTGTCATGCCAAATCAGATTATTTATCTCCTTAACAGATTGCTGTAGCTCCAAAGCCCAGAGCTGCTGCTTGATGGATGCCGGGCAGAATATGGGACAGACAGAAGCTTGTGTGTTCTCCTGTTCATCTTACAAGTGGGCAAAACCGATGCTTCCGTGAACATTTCCTCTGCGAGCATGTCATTGACGTACTTCGGGAGTCCTAAGAAAGTTGTCCTTATTCCTAGCAGCAAAAAAAAAGCAATCTGCCCCGCTGACAGGTTTGTTTGCCCCCGGTCCTGTCTTCATTTATAATGAAAACCGAGCACCATTCAGCTAAAGAAGCAGAGTTTCATGTGTCACATGAAATCTGTTCAGGCACCAGGATGCCTGACAAGACTGCAACTAAAACCCTAAATGCATTTGCGGGCACCCTTCCTCAGTTATTCTTATGCCCTACTTAAGGACACAGCTGTAATTCAATCCCTCTGAGCAAATGCATAGCATACACCTACAGCGTACAAAGAGAAGCAAAATAAAACCACATCAAACTAAACTGCCCATTACCTCCTCCCTGCCCTGAATTTATTGTAGGATTTAACCCCATTTGTTCAATGCAATCAATTCATTGTAAAGCTGATTTGTTGGAACAGTAGTCTTTAGTTGTATTACAAAAATGTTACAAATCGATGGAAAGCTAAATGTGATTTGAACTGTTTTTTTAAAAAAAGAGAGGTTGGGGCTCAATCAAGCTTTCATCTGGGAACCATTTTCATATTTGGAACATTAACCAAAAAGGATAGGAGGCACGCAACCTTTATTGGGTTACTGTTAGGCTGTGGTAACAGTAATAAAAAGAGACTCAAACGGTTGTCTTGTTGCTTATGAAATAAAAACATGTTCTGATCTAAATTTCATTATATTATGCAACCAATATTGCACTGAATAGCTCTTTGCTCTTTCGGGGAGCTGGCACAGACCTGATGGGAAGAATGATCTCCTCTCTGTGCTAAAATATTCTTTCAAATCTGTAATTACTATCTAGCTATTAATGAGATCATTTGAGAACTTCATTCAGAAAAAGGAAGCCAAAGCCATGCACGCAAAAACAAATGAGGGGTTATGAGGTTTGAAAATATTGATGACCTGACACAAAAAAAAGGGCGTTATTTGCTCCACTCACGAATCGCAGTGTTTGACGTACGACTCTGAACAGGGAATTCCATTACAGCTGCACATCAAAACATCTGTGGCACTGAGATCTTCACTGGATTGCTCCATGGGAAGCCACTGTATTCGTAACCAAACGAAAAATATACCTGGCCTCAATTTTGTTTTGGCAGAAAAACAATGTAGGAAAAATTGATTTTTTTAAAAAAACAAACCTTTCTGGGTTACTATCTGGGCTGTAGCCTTTGCTATTTTTTATGGATATGCAATTAATTTTTTTTGTTTCTTTATGTTTTCTGTCCTTCCTCAGACTTGCACAGAACTATACAGAGCTTCACGTGTTGGCGATATTTGTCACCTCAAAGAAATAGCCTTTCGTCATACACAATAGTGGACATTACAGCCTAGTTCACCTCAGACTGTAGCACTTTAATGTTACCTCAACAAGGTAACTCAGAACAGACCGGACGATGAACTGAGACTCGTACATCTGGGATAAATACATTGGTAACCGAGCCATCAGAAAGAGTGTGCTATTGAAGCAGGATTTCTTGCTTAGTGTTAGCTGTCAGCGGTGTTTGCTGCATACTGAACACGATTGTGGAAAAGGAATGGTTGGGATGAGAAGGGAAGAGCAGAGCTTGCAAAAGCAGAGGAGTAACAAATTAGAATCTTCTGCAGTTCGAATCTGAGAAGCACAGGAAAGATCGGAAAAGATCAATTTACGGTGAAGATCTTAAAATATAATCCACTCGTTTAAAAAATAATCTATTCTTGAGTTTTTTTTATAATAAAAAGTTTGGGGTATATTCATTAGGCCACGTGTGGGAATAAGGTCTTTTGAAGGTTTCTTGACGATATTCCTTCAATACTGATTTATGCAACTCAAATACTTGGAACGGTCAGATGAGGGTGGCGCAGTGGCCTGAAATTCTTTTGTTTGCAAAATGGGATTTTATTAGGTGATGAAAAACACAAATAAAAAAACACACAGCAGTAAGAACCAGCACACAGTTTATCTCCAAGATCTTTTGCTGTGTATTTTGCAACTCAAAAGGTACATTCCTCCCAACTCGAAAAACAAGTCTATGTAGGGATCGGAAAGAGGCCAATGGTCATGTTACAAAATGTAAGGACAGCAACAAAACTGGGCATACTTTGTCCTAAAATAACACTCTGCACAGAATCTCCCATCAACGACGCACAGCTGCTTACCCACACAATCCTTCTGGGGTTTGACTTTTCTCCGTAATAGAAAGGAAATACGGGCAAGACAATTACCCATAATGGGTTATGATGAATGGTGGACAATTTGAAAGTGCGGGCTCTAAAATGGGCTTTGTAACAAAGGAAATGATATAAAGGATCAGTGCAGAAGTAGTTGGTGCCTACCCTTCCCTTTTTGGAGTGTGAAGCATGGACTGTCCGTTCATCAGGGATCCTGGTGTTGAGGTCTTAGGTGTTGCTGTTGAGGGAGAACAAATTGAGCTTGTGGAAAGGTCTAGGCCGCCATTTTTGGTTATACTTTCTTCCATTATGTGAGCTGCAGTCACTTCCTTCCACAGCTGCTGCAATTCTGTTGGAGTCATGCCTGTGTCAAACAGCAATAGCCCCACATTATATAATCAGATCCATGTAGAGCAGACTAAACCCTCTTCACACACTAATTAAAAACCAAAGTGTATGTAAACAAGGTCTGATGTTAATTAGGCAATCCTTAACAATATTCCTACGTGCCACATTACTCGCAACAAGACATAATGTAACCCAGTGAATATTCGGTTAGTGTTGATAATTAAAAGTAAATTCTTCAGATGTCTGTAATAATTGATCTGCTTATTTTACCATGAATTGCAACACGACCAAGGCTTCTCTGCATATTCACTCTGCTATTGAAATCAAAGCACTTCAAGTTATTACTGCAGATAGTTTGCAATGTAATAATGGCAAAACACATTCATCTTTAAATATAAAAAGTACAATTTAAAATAATGTGCCGTAAACGCAACGGGTTCATTTAAACCATATTCAAAGGCTTTTTACAATTTTACTACAAAATTAGAATATTATGTCAGTAATTATTTTTTAATCACCTGTCTTTATCATTAAAATTTTATTTCATTCTGAAAGCCTATGTGGAAATTTCAAAGCAGAAAGTAAAAACCTGTGGTTGTAACCATATTTTAATTACAAATCACAATTAAATATTCAAGCATTTCAGATCAGTAAGAATACTAGGGTCAGAATCTAATTTATTACTTTCATTTTGGGTGCAGGAATTAGATAATAATCTCAAAGTGATCAGCCAAAACATCTTTACTTTACTAAACTACTGCTAAAGATTTTAATTACGGTAGCATTGGAGAGTGTAGGTCTAATAAGGCAATAGACTCCAGAGAGTCTAAGTGGTTAAGAAGTGTGAAATGAGACTGATAGGATTTTTACATATTCTCAGTAGATCGTTTGCATATCAAAGAGCGGCAAATTACAGTAGGACAGTAGAACAACCTTCCCAGATTCTCACAGGCTGCAATAATGATTGGCAAATCTATCAGGAAGAAGGTCAGAGCAAAACACCACGCAGAATTGTCCTATTTCCTTGCACCCTCCTGCCATTTGCAAACACCTTCCGCAAGAGAAGATGCTGGATGTATTTATTTTTAGCAGCCTGGCCTGGACAAAGCTGCCTGCACGACAAGAATTACCCACACCTACCTCTGCTGACCTTAAGACCACTGCTCGAAACAGTTGAAACAAAAAAAGAAAGTGAACAGGCACGTCTGATGCTAACCTCGCAGATAGAGACTCGTGCCAGGTACTTTAACCAGATTAGGCTGAAAGGATTCTCTCTGATGGATCTGAGATACGTTTCATTTGTTTTTAAACACATTCGTCGCTGTTCCCTCATTATGAAAAAAAATGGACACTACTTTGAAAAATGTGCGTTGTTGGAAAACGTGATTGATTACTACTCATAGAACTCAATTTCCCAATCCCAGGTAGTACTGGCTGAAAGACAAACACAGTTGCTCAACCTTTTTCGTCCTTGTACCTCTATACCCAGGTGACCATGTTCAAGCAAGCATAAAGTTGATTTAAGGTTCGTAATGACATCAGTTTTGGGCTATTATCACAGTGATAAAAAATTGCTTTGTATTTCTGCCTGCCCAAACTCTCAGTTGCTTTCCAAAGAACCCCAGTTCCACAGGGACAGATGTCACCACTATTAGTTTACTGCACCACTAGAACTGTACCTCTGAAGCAACTCTGTTTAGGTTATTTGGTCAATGGCTCACAGATAGACACCCTTAGGCTTTAAATATGCTCCTTAAACACCACAGGAACAGCTAGCTATAACATACAACTATTCAAATCAATCAATGACATGGCTGCTGAATTACCTAAGGGTGTCCCTGATGTGTTGCTGCACAGATTACACTTCATGCATCGTCACATTCATAGCTTTCATATTATACACTGGTGTGCCCTGTCACTGCTCAATTGCCCTCTCCTGAACAACTTAACTGCTGTGGCTTTGCAGCCTCCATTTGCACTGACTGATACAGAGGTTCGCTTCAAAAAAAAAGGGACCCATCTCAGGGCCGGACACCTACCTTGTGCCAGTGTTTGCAGAGAGAGAGTCGGTTGTCCTGGCTGAACTGTGAGCAAGCCTTGGCGCTGCAATGTCATGATGTGTTGCTGCTGCAGTTGTTGCACTTGTAAAAGTTGTTGCTGGAGAGCCAACTGGTGAGACAACGGCTGCTGTTGCTAAAATCAAAAGAGGGAAATATTTTGAACTCACGGACGCATGGTACGATATGAATCCGTTTTGCACAAGAACGGTCGCTCTTAATAGCAATTAAACTAATCGTAAAACAAGGTGACATACGTGAGGTTGAGTTTAACAGATCAACCCTAATATCAACCCTGATCACAAATAGGGTCATTTCAGACCTGAGGAAGGAGCAACACTATGAAGAATTGTTGGTTGTCCATATGAAAAAATTCTTATAAGTAAAAGGTAGTAAATTTAGAGAAGGAAGAGTGGGAATGGACCTTACAGGCAGTGTCTAATCCACCCTACCATACATTCCACAGTAAAAATGTTTTAAGGAGTTTAAAGAGCTTTCCCAAATATTTCCAACCTCTTCAGAGTACCCCATGGGCGAGACTTGCCGTGAACTTGCATTTTCCTTTACTCTTTGTGGAACATTAGCTGACGAAAGAATGCCTGGCTTGCAAGCCAAGAAAAAAGTCTGTTGACAATGTCTCGTTAAAACTAAATGGAAAAGTCAAAGAACTGAAGAAAAAGTTCATTTAATGCTGTTAATCAGGCATGACAAAACATGAAATAACATACTAAATCATTCATAGAAACAGCCCCTGGATTTTAATTACAGACATTTATAATTTAGCAAACAGCACCTGACTCGAATGTTGGTGTCCCAATACGTCATTCCATTTCAGAAAGCCCTGATATTGATTGAGCATGTAGAGTGTTCTTATATTTATCAATTTCACTTTTGGGAATTTGGTTTTCCCTCCATTAATTGACTTAACTATACAACTGATTAAAAAGCACCATTGGTTTCGCCACCATTTCAGCCAGCTGTTTTGCTCCACAATTCAAGTGACTCAGTTATACAACACAAAAGGCCAACTGAGTATGGCTTTGGTATAAAACCAACACAAAGTTCAGAGGAAGCCAGGTAAAGCGGCAACAATTGGCTGTCAAATCCCCTTCCTGGAAGCGATTTCAGAATCAAATCAGAGTCCACGCAGCTTAATTTTGTTTTTACTGTAGCTGGTGCAACTAGAATTTTTTGAACTTAATTAAATTTATATCCATTGGATGACCCTTGTGGTTATTAAACTGCCAGTGGCCACTTCCGACTCTTTAAATAAAGTTAGTTGATTTTCAGCAAAAGAACTTGAATTCGACCCAAGGCAAATGATCTGGAGCAGGTAGTAGAATTGCGTATAATAATAAAAATAAGTCAAAATAACTCCCTACGCAAGCCCTACATTGAATGGTGCCTTTGATTCAGGAAGTTGTGGGTTCAAGCCCGTCAGGATTCTGATCTCATAGATCATAGATCTCATGGCTGACACTCCAGTGTAGTGCTGCTCATGTCTAACTGTTAAAAATTTGTCACTCACTTCGCTGCTGGTTGTGGAACATTGCTGTGTCTTAATTTGCTAATTTAGTCTACAAATATAGAGTCACTACACTATACAGAAAACTCTGTGATGTGCCTTGAAACGTTTCAATATAAGCTGCTATTTAAAATGCAAAGACGTAGTACATCTGGAAGAGTGAAACTTGCAATGCAACAGGTCTACAAGTAATTGCAGTCATTAATACAGAATGTAGCTCGTGTAATTCCATTTATGTTTTTGTTAAACTATTCTACCGTTTCCAAATCAAGCTTTTCTGTTCGAATTTTAATTTGCTTACCATCTCGTGATCGGAATTTTAATACATTAATTTGAATCGGGAAAAGCTGTTTTCTACCATAAAAAAGGGAGACTTTTTATTTAATTGGGGGGGGGGGGACTTTTCTAGATTAACAGTAAGTGAGAAACATCAATTGACAGAAAGCTACATATTACGCACTGAACTATGAAATCGGTCTTATGATATTTTTTAATGCCCCTGACCAAAGCAGTAAGAAAATAGGGAGATATAAATGAGGCTTTCTGTAATGCAATGCCCGACTGTTGGAAGTGACCTCAAAGGGTGACCCTTGCATAAAATCTGTCTTTTTTGTGGTTGCTGAAAAATGTGTTTATATGCAGCCAAAAACACATTCCGAGTGTGATGTTGCAGGGAAATAAATGTGTGCTCTGCTTCATATCTGCAAGAAGCAAGCAGAGGAAGGAAGAATGAAGATGAAAAGTAAATGCACAGAAGTGGTGGCAATTTGAAACGAAAACAGAAGATGCTAAAAAAAAAGCATCTGATGAATGAAACTCCTCCCTGTGAGGTATTAACCTATTTTTTTCTTCCAGCTGCTGATCGACCTGCAGTGCATTTGCAGCATTGTATTTTATTAGAATAGAAAAGTGATAAGAAAGAACTTGAGAGTTTAGTTCGGGCTGGAGGATTACCCCATCACTGTAAATCTAGAGATAAGGAGGACTTCAATTAGCTAAGACCACAACCATGAGGCTGGTGACCTTCCAAGACAGGGAGCAGCCAATACATAATAAAAGGTTTGAAGCGCGATATTTAGGTTTGTGGAAAAACGTTGTGTGTGGCTGCATTGAGGGGGACTCATTCACAATCTGACAACTCAGGATTAACCCCACCAGCTCCATCACCACTGCTTCCAGATTGAGGCACTGAAAACTGAAACAATTTGCACACGTACACGAACAAATAGCTGAACTGGGCTTTGGTGTACAGACGACTAGATTAATTTAACTAAATAGCCTACAATCATAGGGAATCCACGCAGAACAGGAGACAAATTTTGTCAACGTGTCTCTTTGATTCAGTTATAATCAATGGAACAAATTGAAAATTTCCGTGCAACCAAGTGGTTCTCGTTCACCTCTAACCAACAGCATTCGGCTCGTGGCATATTCAACAGGCTGACTGTCAGCCTGCGCTGCCTGGTTGGGGACAGCAGATGCTCCACTTCTCTCAAACGTTGAGAGAGAAAATATATCCCTCGGAAGAGAACATTTGTGATCTGTCCGACACTGAGAACAGGTACTGGGAACATGGTTGTCAGGATCACTTGGGAGCATTACAGATTATTCATGTTCTGTCTTACTTGTCTACCAAACTAGTGGAATCAGAAGGAATTAGGAAATACATACAACCAATCTCCTTACCGATTGATTGACAGCTCAGGGATCCTGGGATCTGGAATAGGAACACTTTGCATTTATTTCAGTCACTCACGTGCAGCTGATCTACAAGACCATTTTGCTTTCCTGCATAAATGCTGGAATTGGGAGTGAATTTCTCCGTGTGTGGACCTGAAGATTGCCGATGGCCAATCGACAATAGAGATTACGTACTTTATAAGTAGGCTGAACATTTCAGCTATCTCTTTAAGTTGACCGCGTCACATTCATTGTGAAAGCCATGGACCAATGTTTGGCAACATAAAGTACAAGACAACATCTCTCAGAAGGGGATGCACAATAGAATCGAAGCAGTAAAGAATGGGCAAATTACAGGTGTTCGCCTCACTACACAGTAACATTCTGTGAAGCACTTTATGACATCCATCCAATATGAAAGGCGCAACAACAACAACAACAACAACAAGATTCCATTTATAGAGCGCCTTTCACGTCAGGAGGACGTCCCAAGGCGCTGCACAGTTGGGTCATGACCCGAGCAGGGGGGAAATGGTCAGGGTGAGGGGAGGGAAGGGAGGGAGAGAGGAGGGGGGAAATGGTCAGGGTGAGGGGAGGGAAGGGAGGGAGCGAGGAGGAGGAAGAGAGTCGAGAGGGGAGCTGAAGGCACGGTCAAAGAGAAAGGTTTTGAGACCGGCCCTGAAGGAGGAAAGGGAGGAAGCAAGGCGAAGGCACTGGGGGATGGAGTTCCAGAGCCTCGGGGCTGAGAGGCTGAAGGCCCGACCACCGATAGTAGGGCGGTTGGGGCGGGGGACGTGGAGCAGACCGGAGCCAGAGGAACGGAGGGTACGGGCAGGTAGGTAGGGGGATAGTAGGTTGGAGAGAATCTAACACAAGGATTATTATTATCATTTTAATAAAGTACAAGATAACCTCCCTCAAAAGGGGTGTAGAATGGAATTGAAGGGCTAAAGAAAGGGAGCTCAAGCTATAATTGCAACCCCATTAAATCTTTAAAGATAGAGGGACATTTCTGATTCTGATAGGGTCAGGAGGACGTTCCAATGTGCTTCACAAGATATACTGTAAAGTGCAGTTACTTTGTGTTTTATGGGTAAACAAAGCAGCCTCACAAGCAAGAGACCTGGGTTTGATTCCTTGAGCAAACTTCCTTACTCCACACGCCCTCAAGAAAAAAAATAATTTGGTCACTCAATTCACGACTGTTTGTGGGACACTGCTGTGTGCAATTGGCTGCCGCTCCACAAAATATACAGTCAATTCACTTTACAGCATATTCTGTGAAGTGCGTTGAGACGTCTAGAAGACATGAAAAACGCTACATCAAATGGATTATTACTATTATAATTTGTTTGTTTAGAATCGGCATAATCTGATGACATGTCTGTCCAACAAGACAAAGGCTTTGTTGAAACTAATACAAACTTCAGTTACTCCTTAGCCTGTAAGAAACAAAAAGCTATTTCTTGGGACTGTGAAAGTCAGAACTTACAGAAAGGATAATTTGTGATTTATCTGGAGAATATGCTTTGGCAATACTCGAAAACTGATAAAACAATTGAACGGTATATAGGAGCAATATGCATAAGATGGGAGAAATAGAACCAAATAGGTGTGGTACTGAGAAGGTACTCACAAACCAAGGAAGTTACATGCTACAATGTAAGAAATAGCCTAGGGGAGTTCCACATTAAATTCTTAAATGTAATAAAACCATCCATGCAGTTTCTCTCATGTGCTCTGGGGTTGAAATCTTGTATGTGAGACAAACTTCAAGAGAAAGAGCAGGAGGCAAATTTCAAGCTAGTAAGATGTTTCTAAAAAAAAGCTTCCAACAATTAGGAAACCTCACGAACTATGCATTAAAAAGAAGTATGAAGTGTGATTCATACAGATAGCAAAACAAGAAACTCATACCAAGCAGCAGAAATGTAAACAGAGAATGTTGGTTATCGGTATAACATTTATAGAAGAAAACAGCATTCCTGTGCCCCTCCCCAAACCGCTCGTCTCCCACCAGTCAGCAGAAAATCAAGTTGACAGTAAAGGTTGTGAAATTGTTCCGTCGAGTCGACTAGATGTGATGAGAAAACTATACACTGAAGGCATAGTAAAGCGTGGGTCTAGCAGTGAGCCATTTTATGGAACTTTGACCTCCTTAACTGCACATTACAAAAAACAAACTGTATGTTAACTCAATAAAAATATGAATTTCTAAACTCTCCCCTTTTTTAATCCTTAAGGAAAAACTAAAAGTAAATGCTGGATGAAACAGGACTCTCCATTAAAATCACTAACCATTTAAGAGTCTAAATACCTGCAGTAAATTTGATAAACTCGATTGTATCCTTAATTTTCGGGGGGGAAATGAGATGTACGGACAGTTTTCAGCTTGCCTGGTTTTGAAAGGAACTGAGTGTTTGATGAAGAGATAATTTATTGCAGCAAGAGGCTAAACAACCTCAGCAGAGGTTTATAGAAAAGCAGAGACATTTTATACAGTAATTTAGAAAATTGGCCAAATGCAGACAAAACTTTTATGCAGATTTCCTAGAATAATTATCTGATTGATAAAATGATAAAAGCAGTGCCGTTACCACAATAAGTGGAAGGAGATTATCTAATGTTTCGAATCTACTGTAAATCATAATGAATTCTGATTATGTTATCCAAATCATCCCTAACAATTCTGGAAAGTCAATTAAAGTGTTAGTTACGTTAATGTGGCATCTTTTTAGCATTTTAAGATTACAGCACTAGCAAAACTAATCTCCTCGTTTTCATTCAGTGTTTGTCTGGAATGACACAAACGTCAATTGAGGAGGGAGGGAAATCAAACCCCTGTTTTAGAAATGATAAATCAGGATATAAAAGTATACAAGACCCATTGTCAGAGCAAAGAATTTAAAAGCACCAAACATGCTGCCAAAATGAACTCCCCACCCAGTTATCAAACACAGGATACAACCGAGTTTGTTTACTTCTTCCAATTGAATGCATACAAAAAAGGTCTCCACACAGTTCTGTTGTTAGGTCAGTAATCAGTGTTGAAATACTGAAACATCCAGATAAACTTGTACCTCACTTCCCTCCCCTCAAATGGTTGTCAAAGGTCCACTTTCCTTCCCTGGGTTACTCCCCATTGCTCTTATGTAAATTGTCAGCTATGTAATTGCTCAAGGAGGCTCCCAGAAAGTAACCCTTTATATCTACAGCTGCATCTGAAGCACTCGAAATTTTTCCTGACATGATTTTCTAGTCCCATCTGAATTTTTCGTAGACGTGTGTTCTCGCAGAACATCTGCATAGCAATACGAGACTGAACATATTAGACCAAATTAAAGGTTAATAAGATGCGGCATTGGGAAGAAACAAAAACACAATCCCTTACATCTGATAAGAATGACACTGACAGTCTTTCAATTGTTGGGCTTCAAATATAGTGGTAAGGATCTTAAAAAAACTTTTGATGCTGTTAAAAGAAAGCTACACAAAGAAACAACGGGGGGTTACGGCCTGTAAACCACAGGAGAGAAGCTAAGTAATTCCTATTCCACTTTTGAAGGCTGTTAGAAATTCTATTTTAAAAAAAAGCGAAAATCTCTCGAGGTTACAGCCATTTCCTGTGATCATATATAATGTGCTTCAAAAATTGGTTTTTCCACCAATTCTGCTGATCAATTGCACCTCCTTCAGATTCTCTTCTTTTTCTATCATGTTTACATCTGATGTGACTCAATGACAAGTGCTGTCTGAGCAGGAGAAGCAAGCCTGTCATGTTGATTTATGAGTGCATCAAACTACGACTTGTCCAAACTGCGGCTCACAGTTCATTAATTAGAGAGCTCCAACTTTGAAGACTCCGCTCAGATGTTGGATATTTTAAAAAACATTTGGTTTAATTTATATGCTCCAACAATGTGTATCTTTTGGGAGAGGGGAGGGGGCTGGGGGAGGGGAGAGAGAAAGAGAAGGGGAAAAAAAAATGAAATTTGCCCGTCTGGCTTTGAACTTCTTTTTGAGTACACAATAATCATTTCTTTGTCCATCTCGACGCCTGCATCCCCAAGTCATTAATGCACATTGAACTGCAGCTGATGAGTGAGCCGCTCGGAATTAGAAAACAGAAAGGAAACAATGCTGGGAGGCCACTGGAAAGTCTTCACTACAGGCATATCTCACCATTACATGCCTCTTCTCTCTCTGCCATTTCCATTTTAATTACAGCGCATTACTCTTTTCAATAGATGTACATACCTCTTTAGTTGGTTTCCCAGCATGTTGTTGCTGCAGAAGCTGTAGATGCAACTGCTCTTGCTGTTTCTTGTAAAACTCCTGAAGCTGCTGCTATTGGGAAAGGTTACAGAGTCATTAACGTGGAGGGGAAAATAAAACATTTTTTTATTTAAAAAAATCTTTTTTTTTGCGGTCGCCACTTGCGAGATGCAATTTGCAAAAAAAAAATTATATATATATATATATGCTTGGGTCACATGCTCTTTATCAATGTTCATCTGACCTTTCAGATCAAAACTTGCCAATAAATCCAGCAGTGCGCAGACTATTCTTAGCATTATCATTTCAGAACTAATCTTCAAAATGAACTGATGAAAACATACCATTTTGCACACTAACTAATTAAAATATGGCAAGAAGTGACCTTTTTGCTTGTACAGTATAAAGAAAGGGAGAGAGAGAAAGACAGAGAGAGAGAGAGAGAGAGAGAGAGAGAGAAACGTCCTTGCTGAGAATGGATCGCGGGGCTAGTCAATGCAATAATTCACAGGAGTAATTATTAGCAATTTTCTAAACAGGTCACTCAAAAGTGATCCGTAAGCAAGAGCAGTCAACCTCCTCTAATGTAGCTAGTGCAAGGGCACAGCACCAGAATTAGTGGCGTTATTTCAGGAGGAATCCTAGTGGAAAAAAAGATGCAAATTCAATTAAAAGCTGAATTTGACAAAAGCTCCATTTTCATGGGGAATTGAAGTCAGTTTCGATCAGCATGCTGCAAATTCACTCTCGTTCCTAACGTTCTGCCCATGTAGAAGTCATGTGGTGGTCGCAAGGGGCACTGTGCTCAAATCCCTCCAAATCCGTGATGTTTACATGGCACATTTTAATCCAAACTATTACCAATTCAGAGGATGTCGCTCTGACTAATTGGGAAAAGGAAAATACGGCCTCCTGAGTACAGCTTGAATTATTGTCAATTTTTCAGAATATTTTTCTAATTACCACAGCAAACCCTCTTTGTAAAAGCTTGTCTTTTTGGAAAAAAACATGCTAATATGTGTGAGCAGTGGCTCCAGAAAAACACTAAGTGGGAAATGCCAATCCTCGTGAAATCTAATGTAATGATTATACTAAAACCCAACACCGTCACCCGAGCTGAATTATACTTCACGTGTACAGGTTGATCATTATTGGAGTTACCTCTTGGTGCTAGATTTTCCCAGGGGGCTCCTACAGGGTAAAGCGCACCATGTAGTTTATCGCGCAGTAGGGAGGGGAGGTATGGAGATTCTGGATCGAGTCCACTGCAGGTTACACTGGAATGCATCCTAATCAATGCCTGCATGAAGCCAACCCCCCGAGGTGGATCTGGTTTACAATGGCACCGATTCAAAGTTCAAGAAATCAGCTCAAACATACTGGATTTCGGAGGTCTGATTTCATCCATTGCTGCCTCTGTTATGACCTCTGCCACTTAGCAGTACGAGCGGAAAAAAAATGTACCAAACAAATAAAAGCGCGATTGAACTTTCGTTTCTTAAAGGACAAGATTGGCGTCAGACATAACACTGCCTTTTATTCTTCTTTCAGCATGTATGCCATTAATGCCAGAGCTCCGATTAACTCTTTTTCTGCAGTAGACATCACGCATGGCTGGAAGGAGAAAGTAGCAGCTAAGCGTTGAAGAAAATGTAGGCTCTAGAGTTTTATACGGTTTCTCTATTAATGGAGGAGCAATAAAACAACGTGTGTTATATCAGAGGTCAAGGGATACCAGACAGTGTTATACTGACGGGCTGCCTTATTGGGGTATTTTTGGAATATGCAATTACAGCAATACAGGAATAGAACTGTGATTTAAACACAGCAGAGGGAAAAGCGAGCACGACAGTGTAAAATGCTACCGAAACCCAAACGTTCGCATCTCTTCCAGACGAACGGCAGGCAATGCGGTGTGCGATTGAGCCTAAAAACTTTGTGGGATATTCGTGCAGAACTGTAATAATCTCAACAGTGTTGCTGTACAATAGGCCACTTGATGAGGAAGAAGAACACAGCTGAGCCAGGCTTTGAAAAGCATGGAAATGAATACGCAAATTATCATGCTCGTTACAAAATCCTGTATATGAGTCATACTTTGATACCAATTTAAATGACCTGTGAACCTGGCGTTATGAGCGAACACATACACTTTTTTTAAAATTAAAAACAGGGAAGGTTTTCAACGTTGAGTCCAGGATGAATTGGGTTTCACATGTTACATTATTTCATTTTATTTTGGGTTCATCAACGCAAGAGATTTCAGGGCTGAGGTTGGAGGCATTTAAGAGTCTCTAACTCGAGCCACTGAGGGATGGAGAGCCAGTGGAGTTGCGAAAGGGTAAAGTGACTGGCTCGTGGTGCCTGGTGCGGAAAGTCTGCACACTCAAAAAAAACAAGCAAACAAGAGGAAGGAGCGACATTTACCACAGTTCAATCAATAAAGTTAACATTTTTATTTCGAGAAGCACAAAATGCTTTGTGCATCTGGCTTCGTTTTCAATTGGACTAAATAACTACCAGTTTGATCGCTTGTTCCTCTTGTCTTTTTGATCAAGCACATGAGTGCCACCTAGCAGCAATCAACCAGTTGGAGAACCCCTGGATTAAGGCATAGATGGTTTGGGCAGTTTTGGTGGTGGTGGTGGTTTGGGTGGGCATGGAGGGGGAGTAAGTAGGGAACTCATAAGTGTAGGTCAACCCTCCAATACAATGCTGGAGTTGCACTGGTTGTTGGAGGTGCCATCCTTTGGTTGAAACGTTAAGGCTGTTCTGGCAGACGTTAAAGGCATTGGTCCACAATAACAACCACACTTGCATTTGATATAGCGCCTTATTATGTCTTCGAGCGATTTCAAAATACTTCACAGAATACCCTGTAAAGTGAAATTGACTGTATATTTTGTGGGCCAACGATGCCCTGAATAAAAATTGATCATTCGTTCATGGATGTTTGTGGGATGTGGATATTTGTGAGATGTGGCTGTGCGCGAATTGGCAGCCATGTCTGCCTATAAAACAGTCACTGCACTCAACAGTGAATGCTGCGAAACAGTTCCGAGTCGTCCTTCTGACGTGAAAGGCGCTGTATCAAATGCAAGGATTATAATGATGAACATTTACCTGCTGCAGCATGATAGCCTGTTGCTGCTGAAGCAGAGCTTGGAGCTGCTGGGGAGTCAGGACCTGTTGCTGTAAAATCTGCTGCATTTGCTGTGGAGTTATCACTTGAGGTGTCATCATAGCCACTGATACTGGAACCTGAAGGGTGCAACATACCAGAGAGTAAGGAAACAAAGTAAAACACCCAACGCTGCAAATGAAACTGCAACACACCCAATAATTCATATTAACAGCGAAACATTGTTCTTTACTCAAAGCTGTCTGTGAATAGTTTGCAGACTTTGTAAATTGTCTTTTTTGCAGCAAAGACAAAAATCCCAACTATGCCCTGTGTTTACTACGGGCAGTGGCCTACTCTTTGCTCCCTATCTCTTCCCGACTCCGTACTTCACAAACACTGAGCCCGAGAGCATGATTTTGTGCCTCTTTCAGTGAAGCGCGTCAGTGGGAAATTTCACCTGGGTGTAGATTTATTCCATTTATGCAGCTTTTTAAGAGCGACCAAAATTTGGCAAGCACAGCCTTAATTTCGAAGCCAGTTTTCTGTCATTTTTTTTAAAAAAATGACTTTTAAATGCAATTTTTAAGTTCCGTATTTCAAAATGACATCCTGTAATGCAGGAGATTGTTTTTTGGTTAATCGTGTTCTGCGTGCAAATGAACAACAAACAGAAGCAATACTGCTATCCTTAAAGAACAAGTCGGAATTGCGTTCATCTGATCGTATCTTCAAATAAAAGCAGCTACGCTGTGGTCATATTCTGATCTGACTCTACCTGCATGGAGATACCGCTAGGTTTTTTGTTCATATTCCTGACATAACCTTAACAACTCTTCTCAGTGACATTTTAGTGACAAACAGCTACAGTGATGAACTTGATAGCTTTTCACATTTGCAACTGTTCACATGTCCACGTAGATCTTTCTCAGCTGAAACCGAGTAACCTGCACATTGCCTGTGAAGGATGATTTCTTGTTCTGATAATGAAGTGGACATTAAAATGACAGTACGTCTCGAACAGGGTTAGCGCAGTTGTATTCAAGCTTATATTTAATGACAATCCTATAAATTTTACATGTTTGTCGAATGAAATTCAGCTATTCAAATCAATCACTACATACCGTGGAAACTCCGGAAGTCTGGACTCCCAATTTTTTAAAGCTCATTGAAAAGCAGAACTTATCTCTAATATGGTTTCGAAAACAATGCAAACCAGGGAAGATCGATTTAATAATATATTTTGCAGGCTGAAATATTCATTTAAAGTCTCCTGATTGTGGCACGGCTTTTAAAATCCTTGCGAAAATGTGCCTGAATGTCATCCTTCCTATTATTTTACAGATGCGTTGCTTACGTTCTCGTTACTGAATTCTATTTTGTTTTACACGTACGTCATCCCCGGATGCAAACTTCCATTGATCACACCAAGGTAGGGAGATGGAAGTGTAAACTGATCTACAGCTTTGTGTCTTCCTGGGGGAATATTTTCCCAATCTAAATATAGGTCTGCGCAGTGAAAGGATTTAAAAAGCTATTGAATAACAAAACCCATAAATACAGAGTTCAGTGAATAGCAAACTTCTCCAGTGTGATGGTGCAGAAGTACAATTTAGCCTCTCTGTTTTTTAACAGCATTTTATTTCATTTTACCGTTTCTAACCCACCACCTTCACTGGTTTCTCCTGCCATTTGCATAGTGCATTCATTTTCCTAATTTCACAGTCATTATGCACTGATGTCCTGATTTCTCAGCATCACTAATCTTGACGAACTTAAATCACTGATGAAGGTCAGACAATGGCACATCCTAAACTCTATGCAGATCTCTCTCAAACCTACACGGCAGCAGTTAATTTCCATTCAAATGCTTGGGCACCAAGTTCACTGCCTTTTTTTTCGGGGGGGGGGGGGGGGGGGAGGGGGGAGGAAAACAGCTCACATTGTAAATGCAGATGCACTGTCCTATGGCCTTTTGTGTAGTAACTAATGTCAGAAATCAAAGAGCATGCAGCATTGGCAGTAGGCTATTATAGCACACACTTTATTACACATTACTACAGAGGTCATTAGCAGCAAGAGTGATTGTACTGTTCTTAACCTATTGATCACTCCAACTACTGCCATTTAATCCCTTGTTGAACGACTGCAAAATGCTATAAGGCACACCAGAGAGAACGCTTTAACCGTAAAATAGAAAAAAAGGACATAATTGTATATTAAATACTTTACCAGTGCAACACAAGACTTTACAGAGGAGACTTAACTGTACTTAAGATTTTCTCTGAAAAAACTATTACGGAGCTCAACACTTAAAGTAATCACAAACAGAGACAAGGATCAAAGCCAAACCTACCTCTGTCATGTCCTAAAGTCACTGCGAATATTCATTTGTTTGAAACAAAGTTAACAATTCTCTTTACAATGACAAAGAATGACTATGGACATTTTACTTCCTCATAACATTGGGCAGTTTAGATAAATTAACTTGTGAAATTTGTTTAAAAGGCATTGCCCCCCTTCCCTCTGAAATAAATCCTTCATTTCATAAACTGAAATAAAACACAATATTTTTTCGTAGAAAAATAGTAACAATAATTAATCATACCTTAAGCCAAGCTTGATGTTCAATCAGATAAGAAAACTACAATTCTGATAAAACAACCTAAAACCAAATAGCTAAATAGTTACCTCGAAGGGTTAAATGTGGTTTTAAGTCAAAAGCATAACCACAATATGACGTATTTTCCTATCTGATATTTTATTTGTGACCTTATGTTTTTTTGAGAGCAATAACTATCACAGAGGAATGCGTTGCATAGTGGAATTAGGTGTGCATGCATTAAAGATGCAAGGTTTTATGCTTACTCCGCTGAAAATCTGTGCTAAAGTTTCTATACAAGAATAAATTTTGTTTTGTAAAACAAATATATAGATGTAGGTCCGCTGAGCTATACAGAGCCCATGTATACACGCACACCGATACATGTACATTGTTCAAGCTATCGTGATCAAGACCAAGATTATCGTTGTTGTTCTTCAGTCACTGGATTTGGATCCTTGGTGAATAAGTTGCTCACTCCACCTGACAGCAATCACATATATATTTGATACGTCATGGGTTTATAAATAATCTAGTGTTTATAAGAAGGAACAGCTTGTGTTCACATGTGATCCATACATGGATGGTGTATTGGAATTTCAGAACAGATGCTCCCTGATTAAAAGTGCTGACTCAGGCAGGCTCGTCACCACTCGCTCGCTAGCTCTTATTAGACTCACTAAACTGTTAGTAGGGTTCACTTGGAATAGTCCTTCTCTCAGCAAGTTCGTTCAGTGAGGGTCGGAGGTGCCACAGCTTGTGGGTGTCCGGACTCCAATTCGCACCTGAACTCTCTGGGGTCAGATAAGCAATGGATCCTCTGGGGAGAAAGTGTGTGCGCACTGCACTCCCTGGGATTGTGGTCGTGGGTGCAAGCTCTGCACCAGCACCTTTAGCTCATCGTCTTAACCCGACATCCATTGCAATACTGAGGGAGCGCTGCATTACTGGAAGGGTTAATGAGGCATATCATGGAAAAAAAACGGCTTCCAAATTCCGACTGAATCTAAGCAGTGACCAGAATTCCGCACAATCGAAAACTTTTAAGGCAACTGAAACTACGAGTCATTTTCAGGTCTCAATCTCGGTCTCTGGCCATTGCAAGAATTTCTTTGCAACAGGTTTCAAACTGTGCGCATTGCACAATCATCACTTATTCCTGATAATTTACTAAGTGTTGGTCCTGCCACAGATCCGTTAGTCTGAGGGTTTCACCCCCAATCCCAACCTTGCTGCCAGTTTATTTTCTTCACTTCTCCCAAAATAGAAATGGGGGAAATTAAGGCTTTTAGAGCAATGTTCATCCCCAGCAATAAGTAGCTTTTTTACATTCATTATTCATACTATCCTGCACAAAGAAGACACTTGTACTACATTAATTATTAGTTTTAGTGCCATCCATATTCACTAAGAGTAAATACTAATGCAACAAAAGTGGCTGGTCTAATTTACAATGAATTAGGAAATACAGTAGTTTATCGCTACTTATATGCCATGGAGTCTGTGAATACCTAATCAGGTAAAATATTAATGCTCAACATTGGCTCTGCAGATTAATTCTATACAAAAAACACGTGTGGCAATTCTGTGCTAATTCCATCTCTTGTGTCCTTTCTGCATTTGAAAGGTAAAACACGACACTTAAAGCATGCAAAACGCAAGCAAATGGCATGGTTACACTAGGTCAGTCCACAATGAAAAATGAAGGATCAGTTACCAAATGGCAAAAACAGATTTCTTCTCCATCTCCCCACCCACTCCCTTCTTTCTCTCTCTGCATTATATCTTGATTACGAATCATTCTCTTGCCGTTTCATAGTATTTACTGCAGATTTTTTTCTGATAACTGGCAAAATACCGAGAACGAGGTGTGGAAAAGACAAGTGTGTGTGTAAAAAAATAAGACGAGTGCTGGAACTCACAATGTAACAAAAAAAAAGACAATAAGAGGAAGTGAAAGCTGATTTTTTTGGTGTGTTTTTAACCACACAGACCATATGATTGAGACATATGGGTATTGCATAAACTACCAAGGGACAAACTACACCTCAGATCTGATGTAATATTTAGAGGCCAGTATGACCCTCTGAATTCTGCCTGCTGAGAACGAATATTTCGTCCACAAAATGTACAGTCAATTCACTTCACAGAATATACTGCGAAGCGCTTTGGGACGTCTCGAAGAAGGGATAAGGCGCTACATCAAATGCAAGGATTATTATTATGAATGTGAAGGGGCTTCTCACACCTAAACAAGAGCTTGGTTCATGGCATTTCACATCAGCCCAGCGCAGGGCAGACCAATGAACAAATGAATCCCACTAATAAGGGCAGTGGTACATTAACACCATTTGGTTGTGAAAACATCAAAACCTGAAGTTGGTCAAAGACTCTCTGCCTCATCTGGAAATAGGCAGAACTGAATTAAAACGAAGGGCAATTTTGCTTCAATTTTTTTTGAATGTTTCAGAGAAACATTTGACATTAGCAATAAAAGTGCTTTTTTTTTAATACATTTAAAATAAAGTGTATTTTCTC